AAATGATTAAACTCAATTATCTCAAAATGAAATATATGTAAAAATGGGCCCTTTTAGTTGACAGCACTCCATATTATAAATATAAGAAATAAATCCAGCTAATTATATTTGTTTAAAACTATATAGCTAATAAGTTATTAGTTGTTTAAAACTAATAATCTATCAAAACTGATATAAAAGCTAGCTACTATACATATCAGTTTAGAGAGGTTATACTGTAATTTAAAAATAGATCTATATACCTCGTTCAAATGTTCAAATATTTTCTTATTTTCAAAACTAATGTAAGATATAAATAAATATTGGTTGTGATTAACATTTTGATGTACTAAAAGATAAACAATATATTCAAATACAACATATATACGTACATTTCCAGACATTCGGCACTGAAACACTACTATTATGTAGAATATCTGATACCAAATATAGTCGGGCAACTTTGGTTGGAATGAGTGTTTCCTTAATGACAAGTATTTTACAGATTATATCTACTATCTATATTTTAAGTAATATATTTAATTAATAGTAGTTGTTAGAAAGATATAAAATATTTGTAACAGATTTTACCTCATCAGCAGCGTCAGAATGATCAATAGAAAAGGTCATTGCCTTTGCTATAGCGCCTCTCTCATAGGTCAATTTCCGTAACATTACTTCTAATTGATGTTTTGCTTTAGGGCCGAGTGTACCTTTAGGAACATGCTCTCTTTCTCGTTCATCCTCTTCATCGGAGTCCAATAACTCATTTGCGGCCTGTTGCCCAAAGATAATAACGTAAGCAATCCTGTAATATTTAATGAAGGGTTGTTTTTATTGTATATCATGCTTCATCAATAGGTATATCCGGAGGAACCCACATAAGTCCTTCATTAAACAATGTGAAAAGCTTCGGTGCGCCACTTATTCTTTGGATCGCCTTGGAGAATAGAATATAATTTCCAACGATAATAAATATGTTCAGGAGACTATTGAATATAAGGACTTCATGATAAATATTGACATCAAAATCAAGTTTTCTAATTATAAATATGCTACATTACGTCGTTATTGAACAAGAACCAAAATTTGGAATTATTCTATTCGCGATCCATTATTATAACCTATTAATTTAATAATATGTAAATAATAAATATTTAATACTAAAATCTTAAATTACCTCAAATGGTGGTCCATATTTACAACACGTTCTACCATGCGACGTATTATTTTTACAATTTGAGGATCTTCAGGCCGCGCAACCTGTACCTCAAGGCGAAGACCTTTTAAAACGGCCTTCAAAAAAAAAAAAAAAACAAAAGAGAGAACTATTGTTATAATAAAATACATTTGAGGATCTTCAGGCCGCGCAACCTGTACCTCAAGGCGAGGACCTTTTAAAACGGCCTTCAAAAAAAAAAAAAA